GTGATACAGGTTGGACAGACATAGACACCCCTTCAGCCATGACAGGTGATACAGGTTGGACAGACATAGACACCCCTTCAGTCATGACAGGTGATACAGGTTGGACAGACATAGACACCCCTTCAGTCATGACAGGTGATACAGGTTGGACAGACATAGACACCCCTTCAGTCATGACAGGTGATACAGGTTGGACAGACATAGACACCCCTTCAGCCATGACAGGTGATACAGGTTGGACAGACATAGACACCCCTTCAGCCATGACAGGTGATACAGGTTGGACAGACATAGACACCCCTTCAGTCATGACAGGTGATACAGGTTGGACAGACATAGACACCCCTTCAGTCATGACAGGTGATACAGGTTGGACAGACATAGACACCCCTTCAGCCATGACAGGTGATACAGGTTGGACAGACATAGACACCCCTTCAGTCATGACAGGTGATACAGGTTGGACAGACATAGACACCCCTTCAGTCATGACAGGTGATACAGGTTGGACAGACATAGACACCCCTTCAGCCATGACAGGTGATACAGGTTGGACAGACAGACATAGTCACCCCTTCAGCCATGACAGGTGATACAGGTTGGACAGACATAGACACCCCTTCAGCCATGACAGGTGATACAGGTTGGACAGACATAGACACCCCTTCAGCCATGACAGGTGATACAGGTTGGACAGACATAGACACCCCTTCAGCCATGACAGGTGATACAGGCTGGACAGACATAGACACCCCTTCAGCCATGACAGGTGATACAGGTTGGACAGACATAGACACCCCTTCAGCCATGACAGGTGATACAGGTTGGACAGACATAGACACACCCTTCAGCCATGACAGGTGATACAGGTTGGACAGACATAGACACCCCTTCAGCCATGACAGGTGATACAGGTTGGACAGACATAGACACCCCTTCAGCCATGACAGGTGATACAGGTTGGACAGACATAGACACCCCTTCAGCCATGACAGGTGATACAGGTTGGACAGACATAGACACCCCTTCAGTCATGACAGGTGATACAGGTTGGACAGACATAGACACCCCTTCAGTCATGACAGGTGATACAGGTTGGACAGACATAGACACCCCTTCAGCCATGACAGGTGATACAGGTTGGACAGACATAGACACCCCTTCAGTCATGACAGGTGATACAGGTTGGACAGACATAGACACCCCTTCAGTCATGACAGGTGATACAGGTTGACAGACATAGACACCCCTTCAGCCATGACAGGTGATACAGGTTGGACAGACATAGACACCCCTTCAGCCATGACAGGTGATACAGGTTGGACAGACATAGACACCCCTTCAGCCATGACAGGTGATACAGGTTGGACAGACATAGACACCCCTTCAGTCATGACAGGTGATACAGGTTGGACAGACATAGACACCCCTTCAGCCATGACAGGTGATACAGGTTGGACAGACATAGACACCCCTTCAGCCATGACAGGTGATACAGGTTGGACAGACATAGACACCCCTTCAGCCATGACAGGTGATACAGGTTGGACAGACATAGACACCCTTCAGCCATGACAGGTGATACAGGTTGGACAGACATAGACACCCCTTCAGCCATGACAGGTGATACAGGTTGGACAGACATAGACACCCCTTCAGCCATGACAGGTGATACAGGTTGGACAGACATAGACACCCCCTTCAGTCATGACAGGTGATACAGGTTGGACAGACATAGACACCCCTTCAGCCATGACAGGTGATACAGGTTGGACAGACATAGACACCCCTTCAGCCATGACAGGTGATACAGGTTGGACAGACATAGACACCCCTTCAGCCATGACAGGTGATACAGGTTGGACAGACATAGACACCCCTTCAGCCATGACAGGTGATACAGGTTGGACAGACATAGACACCCCTTCAGCCATGACAGGTGATACAGGTTGGACAGACATAGACACCCCTTCAGCCATGACAGGTGATACAGGGTGGACAGACATAGACACCCCTTCAGTCATGACAGGTGATACAGGTTGGACAGACATAGTCACCCCTTCAGCCATGACAGGTGATACAGGTTGGACAGACATAGACACCCCTTCAGCCATGACAGGTGATACAGGTTGGACAGACATAGACACCCCTTCAGCCATGACAGGTGATACAGGTTGGACAGACATAGACACCCCTTCAGCCATGACAGGTGATACAGGTTGGACAGACATAGACACCCCTTCAGCCATGACAGGTGATACAGGTTGGACAGACATAGACACCCCCTTCAGCCATGACAGGTGATACAGGTTGGACAGACATAGACACCCCTTCAGTCATGACAGGTGATACAGGTTGGACAGACATAGACACCCCTTCAGCCATGACAGGTGATACAGGTTGGACAGACATAGACACCCCTTCAGCCATGACAGGTGATACAGGTTGGACAGACATAGACACCCCTTCAGCCATGACAGGTGATACAGGTTGGACAGACATAGACACCCCTTCAGTCATGACAGGTGATACAGGTTGGACAGACATAGACACCCCTTCAGCCATGACAGGTGATACAGGTTGGACAGACATAGACACCCCTTCAGCCATGACAGGTGATACAGGTTGGACAGACATAGACACCCCTTCAGCCATGACAGGTGATACAGGTTGGACAGACATAGACACCCCTTCAGTCATGACAGGTGATACAGGTTGGACAGACATAGACACCCCTTCAGCCATGACAGGTGATACAGGTTGGACAGACATAGACACCCCTTCAGCCATGACAGGTGATACAGGTTGGACAGACATAGACACCCCTTCAGCCATGACAGGTGATACAGGTTGGACAGACATAGACACCCCTTCAGCCATGACAGGTGATACAGGTTGGACAGACATAGACACCCCTTCAGTCATGACAGGTGATACAGGTTGGACAGACATAGACACCCCTTCAGCCATGACAGGTGATACAGGTTGGACAGACATAGACACCCCTTCAGCCATGACAGGTGATACAGGTTGGACAGACATAGACACCCCTTCAGCCATGACAGGTGATACAGGTTGGACAGACATAGACACCCCTTCAGCCATGACAGGTGATACAGGTTGGACAGACATAGACACCCCTTCAGCCATGACAGGTGATACAGGTTGGACAGACATAGACACCCCTTCAGCCATGACAGGTGATACAGGTTGGACAGACATAGTCACCCCTTCAGCCATGACAGGTGATACAGGTTGGACAGACATAGACACCCCTTCAGCCATGACAGGTGATACAGGTTGGACAGACATAGACACCCCTTCAGCCATGACAGGTGATACAGGTTGGACAGACATAGACACCCCTTCAGCCATGACAGGTGATACAGGTTGGACAGACATAGTCACCCCTTCAGCCATGACAGGTGATACAGGTTGGACAGACATAGACACCCCTTCAGTCATGACAGGTGATACAGGTTGGACAGACATAGACACCCCTTCAGTCATGACAGGTGATACAGGTTGGACAGACATAGACACCCCTTCAGCCATGACAGGTGATACAGGGTGGACAGACATAGACACCCCTTCAGCCATGACAGGTGATACAGGTTGGACAGACATAGACACCCCTTCAGCCATGACAGGTGATACAGGTTGGACAGACATAGACACCCCTTCAGCCATGACAGGTGATACAGGTTGGACAGACATAGACACCCCTTCAGCCATGACAGGTGATACAGGTTGGACAGACATAGACACCCCTTCAGCCATGACAGGTGATACAGGTTGGACAGACATAGACACCCCTTCAGCCATGACAGGTGATACAGGTTGGACAGACATAGACACCCCTTCAGCCATGACAGGTGATACAGGTTGGACAGACATAGACACCCCTTCAGCCATGACAGGTGATACAGGTTGGACAGACATAGACACCCCTTCAGCCATGACAGGTGATACAGGTTGGACAGACATAGACACCCCTTCAGCCATGACAGGTGATACAGGGTGGACAGACATAGACACCCCTTCAGTCATGACAGGTGATACAGGTTGGACAGACATAGACACCCCTTCAGCCATGACAGGTGATACAGGTTGGACAGACATAGACACCCCTTCAGCCATGACAGGTGATACAGGGTTGGACAGACATAGACACCCTTCAGTCATGACAGGTGATACAGGGTTGGACAGACATAGACACCCCTTCAGTCATGACAGGTGATACAGGGTTGGACAGACATAGACACCCCTTCAGCCATGACAGGTGATACAGGTTGGACAGACATAGACACCCCTTCAGTCATGACAGGTGATACAGGGTGGACAGACATAGACACCCCTTCAGTCATGACAGGTGATACAGGTTGGACAGACATAGACACCCCTTCAGTCATGACAGGTGATACAGGTTGGACAGACATAGACACCCCTTCAGTCATGACAGGTGATACAGGGTGGACAGACATAGACACCCCTTCAGCCATGACAGGTGATACAGGTTGGACAGACATAGACACGAGACCCTTCAGTCATGACAGGTGATACAGGGTGGACAGACATAGACACCCCTTCAGCCATGACAGGTGATACAGGGTGGACAGACATAGACACCCCTTCAGCCATGACAGGTGATACAGGTTGGACAGACATAGACACCCCTTCAGTCATGACAGGTGATACAGGGTGGACAGACATAGACACCCCTTCAGTCATGACAGGTGATACAGGGTGGACAGACATAGACACCCCTTCAGTCATGACAGGTGATACAGGCTGGACAGACATAGTCACCCCTTCAGCCATGACAGGTGATACAGGGTGGACAGACATAGACACCCCTTCAGCCATGACAGGTGATACAGGTTGGACAGACATAGACACCCCTTCAGCCATGACAGGTGATACAGGTTGGACAGACATAGTCACCCCTTCAGCCATGACAGGTGATACAGGGTGGACAGACATAGTCACCCCTTCAGAGATAACGTTGACAGCATGTTTATTCACAATTACGTACACGTATTGCATGTTTTAGATGTGAATCAAGAAATATTACATAATGTTCATACTCTGTATAATTTCTCTTGAACCATTCAAGATGTGTAATCTCTTTCTGATTAAGATAAAATAATTCATATCCCCTGTAACTGGTACTGAAGGTGTGATGATAAAGAAAGTGTGATTATATGCAATATCTACCTGATCCAATTAAATATGGCAAATGGTATTCTTTTAGTTAGTTGCAGTTTGTCAATTTGCCTTCCGACCTTGAATGTGCTTGGGGATGGAAAACAAATATGATATATAGCAATCTTAAAATATCAAGTTACCACAAAGATCAAATATGAAATCGGATCTGGTAATCTTTGTAATAATTGACAATTGACTTGGTTTTGCATGTGTTTGTGTCGTTTACCACCGGTGGGGCATGACGTTTTCACCAACATCTGGTATCACCACTATTTCATAGTGATTCATGGCCATGCTGTCTTGATTTGGTCGGAATGGTACAACAGCATCTGATTTTAGCAGAGATGTGTCCCCAAACTGGAAAAGGTTTTGTCTCTTATTGTACATAACGCTTTATAAGAAAACCAAGTCGGTGCAGGTACTAATACCATCACTTGCTTGATAACGGTATTAGTACCGTCATTGCAATAAAGAAGCCGAATATCCATGGAACTTGGTTTTCCTCCATCTTTACAACTTCTAAAATGCCTCAAAGACGTTATAACGCTTATACTGGCGCCGAAATCCTGATAGAAAGGTATTTCAGGTACATCCGGCATGGCGAGATGTCGTATACCTCTCATGGAGTTGATATCGAGATAGACATAATCCAGCGTCATGGGATTTGTGAATTGACACTGGCTCACTGTAAAGAACATTTATCACAATACATGTACAGACGCTTTAGGAGCTTCCCATATCACTGGCTAGGAGTCTTTGTTGGACAGGTACTGATCACAAATTATTCCCCTCGAATATATAGGTATGGGCACTTTCACATATTAGGAACAGACGCTCGTAAAATGCGTTTTTGTTTCCTGTAGATGATAATTATGAAAACTCACTCAGATAATAATCTCCAGATTTTGGATTGCAATTTTTGAATGTTATTCAACGGTACTGTTGTACCGGAACACATGAATGCATTGCCAACATTCGTCAGACTAGGGAAGAGCAGGATGACCCTTGTGACAAGGTCTGGTTCATAATGTGGACAGCTTTCCACCACATCAGATAGGTTCACTATCTGTTGCATAGATTGGGTTGCATTGTAGCGTTCATGTTTGATGGTTGTTTCACGCCAGCAATATCCTGGCTGTAAGACTGCGGTTTGATAAATAACTGGGCTTGACCAGACAATGCAGTGACTGGCATCATCAACACCCACCCATATTCACTCACTCACTCTACAACTCACTCACCCACTCTACCACTCACTCACCCACTCTACCACTCACTCACCCTACCACTTGGTCACTCACTCTACCAATCACTCACCCACTCTACCACTCGGTCACTCACTGATCCAAACACTCACTCACTCTACCACTCACTCACTCACTAATCCAGTCACTCAACCACTCACTCATTCAACAGCCACCTCATTCAACCATTCACTCACTCACTCACTCACTCACTCACTCACACCATCCCGATCCACGATGGAGGTAAGTAATCTGCTGCTACATACTGACTAGCCAACCACGAGCCATTTTTCGGGAAATTTTTGTAATAGATTGTCTCCCCTCCCGCGAGCCACGCCCCCCACCACCCGTATGTCCCCGTAGATATAATGCTGTGATTGCAACTACTCAGGGTTGCCAAGTCGACGTTTTGATTGGCGTGAGCAAACACCACGTCCGACTCGCTGCCCAAATGAGTCCTACTCCAGTTAATATCATCGGAACACACTATAAACAACGGGTCTTTTAACCTGTTTCTGAAATACGCCATTGCTTTATGGAAATATTCTGCAGGGGCAAGGGTGTAGCCCTGTTTGATTGTTGAAGGAACTCCCATGTCACCGCGCCGGATGTGAACTCCGACCTTTGGGCGACCTTTACCTTTAGCCTCGAGTTGAGCAAAATAGTTTCTGACAGGTATGCGAATGTTCTCCTTGAAAGTGAACTCCTTTCTGACGATATCTCCGATGTCTGTGAAGTATCGCCATGACTGGTAGTATCCTCCCAGCCGCCAGCTCCAGTCAGTCCTCATTGTCTCCAGACATTCGTCATAGGTAGCAGCTGCCTTTTCAAAATACACAGGCAGGTTTGAGTATTGGGTGGGCGATATGTGCGACAGATCGAATGTTTGCGCCAGGTTCTCGTTCTGGAACACATACGGCGTGAAGCCATGTCTATGGGCTAAACCCAATAAAGCAGCATATTGGAACATCTTGTTACCAAGGCGACCAACTCCTGCCAGCACAATAATCCTTGGTTTAATGTCCAGTTGAGGGGACGCTGTGACGTATCTATCTCTGCAGGGGTCGGTGGTGGTACTTCTGGTAGCCTGCACGGGACTTATACTGGTCAGTATATGTGTAGTCCTTGACGGAGAGGGGTCTTCCAGGGTTTCATTGATACTGTCGGACAGATTCCATGGGTTGTCCCTGCGGATGGTCACGTGAGACTCTGGAAGTACTTGCATCACCCACAGAAGCGGGAAGCCGCTTGAAAACAAAATCAGTGCGCATGTCATTTTCTTCAGCAAGCTTCTTAACTTCATCGTGACCTTGACAGTGTATCATGGATCGTTTTGGATCGTCCTTGTCACATTCACCTGTGAAATAGAAAGCCAAGGATGACACACTGAAAGTAACACTGTGTAAACTAAACAAACACAGGACAAAGGAGAAAGACTCTGTCAGATAATGTCCCATTTCCTGTGCTTTATAAGTGTGGTAATAAAGCACAGGAAATGGGACATTATCTGACAGAGTCTCACCTGACACTTAGTTTCCCACCCCACCCCACCCCACCCCACCCCTGCCCTACCCCTACCCCACCCTACACCATCCTACACCTGCACTTCCTACATTACCTTACCCCCACCCCACACTACCCTACTCTTCCTCCTACCCTACCTACCCCTACCCTTCACACCTTACCTATCCTACTCCTACCCTTCCTACCCTACCCACCCTACCCTTCCTACCCTACCCTACCCCCCTTCACACCTTTACCTATCCTACCCCTACCCTTCCTACCCTACCTACTCTACCTACCCCTACCCTTCATTCCTCCACCCACCCCAATTCTACCCTACCCTTCTCTACTCCTACCCTACCTCCTACCCTACCCTTCCTAATTCTTACCCTAACCTACCCTACCCTTCCTACCCTACCCTTCCTACCCTACCCTTCCTAACCCTACTCCTACTCCCACTCCTACCCTACCTACCCTACCCTACCCTTCCCCCTCACACCTTACCTACCCTACCTACCCTACCTACCCTTCACACCACCTATCCTATCCCTCTCACCCCTACCCTACCCTATACCTACCCTACCCTACCCTTTCTAACCCCCTTTCCACCTACCCTACCCTACACTTCTACCCTACCTACCCTACCCCTTCCCTATCTCTACACCGTCCCTACCCCTACCCTACCCTTCCTACCCTCCTACCCTACCCTACCTACCCTACCCCTTCCTACTCCTACCCTTCCTACCCTACCTACCCTACCCTACCCTACCCTTCCTATTCCTACTCCTACCCTTCACACCTTACCTACCCTCCACACCTTACCTCTCCTACCCTACCCTTCCTACCCTCCTACCCTACCCTTCCTACCCTACTCCTACTCCTTCACACCTTACCTATCCTACCCTACCCTACCCTACCCTATCCTATCCTACTCCTACCTACCCTACCCCTACCCTTCCCTACTCCTACCCTATCATACCCTACCCCACACCACACCACCACACCACACCACACCACACCCACCCGACCTGACCCTACCATACCCTACCCCTACTCCTACTCCCACACACGAGCCTATCCTCCTACCCTACCCTTCCCACTCCCTACCCTTCCCTACCCTTCCCTACCCTATCCCTATCCCCTACCCTACCTATTCTAACCCTCCTTATCCCACCCTACCTATTCCTACCCTCCTTACCCCACCCCTACCCTACCCTTCCCCACCCTTACCTTTACCCTATCCCACCTTACCTTACCCTACCCTACCTACTCTTACCATCCCTACCCTACCCTACCCTATTTACCTCTCCCTCCCCCTACTCCCCACCCTCCCTACCCCACCCTACTCTACCCTCCTACCCTACCCTTCCCTTCCCTACTCTACCCTCCCTACCTACCCCTTCCCTTCCCTACCCCTAACCTCTACCCCACCCTATCCTACCCCACCCCACCCCCACCCCACACCACACCACACCACACCACACGACCCTACCCTACCCTACCCTATCCCATCCTACCCCTACCCCACCCCACCCCACCCCACCCTACCCTACCCTACCCTACTACCCCACCCTACCCTACCCGAGCCTGCCCTGCCCTGCCCTGCCCTGCCCTGCACTGTCCTACACTGCCCTGCCCCGCCCTATTTCAGTTACTATAACTGAGAATTGGAGTAAAACCAATTGTGGTGCAGATCGGATATTTTAACCACACTAATACAAACAATAGGCGACTAACGGGATCGGGTGGTCAGGCTCGCTGACTGGGTTGACACATGTCATCGTATCGCATGCGTACATCAATGCTCATGCTGTTGATCACTGGATTGTCTGGTCCAGGCTCGAATATTTACAGACCGCCGCCATATAGCTGGAATGTTGCTGAGTGCGGCGTTAAACAACAACAACAACAACAATAACAACAACTTTACCACATAAACACACATCCGGGTGCTTGGCGGACAAACCTAGAAACACCATTACTCCGAATCTGAATAGCACCAAGAGTGTTCAGATTCTGATTGCAGGGGTGTTACACGGTAATGGAGTCATACGCACTTGTGTAATATTTAAAGCTTTACTCATGGTGTGGGTTTGAAATGCAGAAAGGTCTAAACATCGCCTTTGTTTCCCCTTTTGCTAACGAAGACGTAAAGGTTCTATTTGTCGACAACGTGTATATGGCGTCTACATGGCGGAGGTCTGTGAAGCGGGTGGTGTTACTTATTCTGGTTTTAATTCTCTGTATGAGACTCTCGTTAAGCCTGCCTTATCATATGAGTCGGCACTTTGGGTCACTAAAGAATTCAGATGTATCAATGCTATACAGAATCGAGCCTGTAGATTTTACTTAGCGGTTGGCATGAAAACCCCAACTTTGGCTGTCCGTGGTGATATGAGTGGACCTCCGTAATAAAAACGCAAAAAACTGAAATACTCCGATTCTGGTGCAGATTACAAACGGCATATTATTCAAGAACACTAAGTACTGTTTGCAGATGGTCAGTAAAAGTTCGTAGACCCTGGAATAACATTGTTTTTTAACCAATTGCACCATTTACATTTGCCATATTATGATTTGAATAATATCTCAACTGAAGATGTTTTTTGTTGTTTAAAACCTGCCTCTCGTCTCCAGTTCACTCTGATTGGTTACGAGGACTCTCGTGAGACTCAGGCCAAACTAATGCTAATAAATTACGTACATATAGATTATTTAAAGATTTTATTTAATTTTTAACTGTGGAACCTTATGTTAATACGCTGCTCAATAGATCTCAACGCAGAAAAATTTGTGGAGAGGTCAACAAAGAAAAGGGGCCATAACTCCGCTAAGCTTATCTGTTAACTATTGCCACTGATCGCTATTGATATCCCGTATTTTTATATTGATGGATCCCCTAATACTGGTTCAAATATTGGTTACAATACGATTAAAAGAACACAATAAGAACACAACGTTAACTTCTCTCTTTACAAACAGCAAATATCTAAAGTGACATAGATATTACGCCAATTACCGCAAGTAACTTAACACAAACACGGGAATATTTGCAAGTACCTGGACTGCAGAAGTGATTTCATTGGGTGAAATGATATACCGTAAACAATGGCTATGACGAACTCAAATGAACGGTTACATTTAGTTCGTTATAATCAGAGTTCGTAATAATCAGAGTTCGTTATAGAGTATTTTTAAGATTATTCAGCTTCAGGGACAAAATAAGTTCTCTATATTTCCCTCAGTTCTATAAACAAATTTCCCTCAGTTCAGTTTTATCGTCACGAACAAAGTTTTCCCTCAGTTCATTATATAAACAAAAGTTTCCTCAGTTCGTCACGAACAAAGTTTTCCTCAGTTCATTATAGGTAAACAAAGTTTTTCCCTCAGTTCGTCATAAACAAAGTTTTCCTCAGTTCATTATAAACAAAAGTTTCAGTTCGTCACGTTCATTATAAACAAAAGTTTTCATCAAACAAAGTTTTCCTCAGTCATTATAAACAAAGCAGTTCGTCACGAACAAAGTTTTCTCCTCAGTTCATTATAAACAAAGTTTCCCTCAGTTCGTTCGTCACGTAAACAAAGTTTTCCCTCAGTTCATTATAAACAAACACGAAAGTTTTCCCTCAGTTCATTATAAACAAAAGTTTCCCTCAGTTCGTCACGAACAAAGTTTTCCCTCAGTTCATTATAAACAAAAGTTTCCCTCAGTTCGTCACGAACAAAGTTTTCCCTCAGTTCATTATAAACAAAAGTTTCCTCAGTTCGTCACGAACAAAGTTTTCCCTCAGTTCATTATAAACAAAAGTTTCCCTCAGTTCGTCACGAACAAAGTTTTCCCTCAGTTCATTATAAACAAAAGTTTTCAGTTCGTTTTCCTCAGTTCGTCAAAGTTTTCAGTTCGTCACGAAACAAAGTTTTCAGTTCCTCAAAGTTTCAGTTCGTCATAAACAAAGTTTTCCCTCAGTTCATTATAAACAAAGTTTCCTCTCAGTTCGCCACCAATAAAGTTTTCCCAGTTCATTATAAACAAAGATTTTTTTCAAAGTTCAGTTATAAACAAAGTTTCTTTCCCTCAGTTCAGTTATAAACAGTTTCAGTTTATAAACAAAGTTTTCCCTCAGTTCATTATAAACAAAGTTTTCCCTCCTCAGTTCAAGTTTTCCCTCAGTTCGTCAGGACAAAGTTTTCCCTCGGTTCAGTTCATAAACAATGTTTTCCCTCAGTTCGTTATAAACAGAGTTTTCCCTCAGTTCATTATAAACAGGCCCTCAAATCGTCATAAACAAGGTTTTCCCCAGTTCGTCAGGACAAAGTTTTCCCTCGGTTCGTCATAAACAACCACGGAGTTTTTCCCTCAGTTCGTATCGATGCGGCCATAATGTCCGAAGTCGGACGCCTTCGGACGCCTTGTCCACATGACCAAAGAGGTTAACCCCGTCAGCAAGCTGACAAGGTAAGGATGTCATCTGTGGGATGACTCCACGCCCTGCTACATACTCCCCCGTCAACAGAAGGCGCGTCCCGAGCCGCATAGTTGGGTACTGAGACTTATTTTGCTCAAATTTCATATGAACATGCTCAGCCCCGTGTTGGGCGCCAATGTAGCGGCCATAAAATTTCCGAGATTAAGAGTCTCGTGCTCTACTATGCGGCTCGGGACGTGCCTTCTGTTGACGAGGGAGTGTGTAGCAGGGCGTGGTGTCATCCCACAGATGACATCCTTACCTTGTCAGCTTGCTGACGGGGTTAACCTCTTTGGTCATGTGGACAAGGCGTCCGACTTCGGATTAGAAGGTCCGTGGTTCGAATCCCAGCACGGGACTCGGAAATTTTATGGCCGCCACATACTTC